TTCCATCTGGCCGGGGACGCTGCTGGGGGCACATGCGGCTGGATAAGCTAGGCAAGTGCGGCTGGAGCAGCAATGGCAATGAAATTGAGGCCGTGTTTGTGTGGGCGTACATGCAGCAATGGGTGGCAGCAGCAGCAGTAGGTATGTAGGTATGATATATGGGAGGTATAAGTACCCGGGGCCATTAAAATAGGGGTCCATGTCACGCAATGTGTCGTTTTGAGGCATATCATGCGCCTCATAAATGTACGACGATAAGATAGTGACAAGACAGAGGGTGAAAGACAGCACTGGATGAGCAGCCGTGATTGGGTGAAGCACGTTAAAAATAGCGTTGGAAGTCTGCACAGCAACAGGACTTTTAGCAACCGATTCTGCGGCCTTGTACTATCTCATGCACATGGTGAGGTAGCGGTGTATGTCGTGTAGTACCCAACGGCAAGTGGTCGTTAGTTAGTTGAAGCACGCCGCTGTGGGACGGTACTGGGCAGAGTTGGCAGTTGGCAGCACTGTGCAGGACATACGGTGTAGGTTTCGTTGTTTGAGGAACGCAGGCCAACTGGTCAGGGACTTGTTAAGTTGCGATGTGCTACTTTTAGGCAGGAATGAGGTGAAAAGAGCGCTGTGATGGGTGCGCGCGTGCTGTTGGTTTTCCATGGTAGATTTTCCAAAGCAGAGAAGGCAAGAGACTTGAAGCTTCAGCGTTGTGGCGGCTGGTGTGTACCGTACTCTACCCCGTTGGATTTACTGCGAGTGCTTTGGACGTGAGGCATAAGGTACGAGGTTTACATACCAACGTTGACTGGAATGGACGTGTGTTTAGGACAAGGAATGTGAGAGGGAGAAACAGAGAGAAAGGCATGCAGGTGCAGGTTGTATTGCTTTACGTACGGTACATGAAGCTCTTTCTACAAGTACCAATAACGAAGTTGTTGGATATATTGGGAAGCGTCGTACTAAATTGCATGAGCGTATGGCTGTAATACAAAGAGCGCATGTAGAGGACGTATTTCTATCAGCAGGGGTATCTCCAGGTCTAGATTCCGTGCAGTGAAAGTCAATGCGGAAATGATTGATGATGCAGGCATGGTGACGGAAAGAGACGTCAAGTACAGCCAGTTTGAACAGGCCAGCAAAAATATGGACTTATTACTCCACATGCGTGTCGCCAAATGCAAAGCGCGCGGAAGGGGCCCTGATCTGCGTACAATTACATCCATTAGTTACCGTTTTGCTGCTCTACAAAACCTACACATCAAGCGACGCACGATGCGTACAGGCAACCAATGTATGGCAACAGCTTGCCGGTAGCAGCCTCCCCACAAGCAAGTTGTTGCCAATTCGGCTTTAACAAAGTGCATGCCCAGCATTCTTCGGACATAACACACCTAAAGAACATTTGCTCATCGGCAACTCACCTGCTTAGTTCTTCGTTGGTCACCGTGCAAATAAAAACCCTCCCACCACAAGACACCTACCACCTCTCAAAACATCTTTTACCCTTGGAGCACTCTCCCATCCGGATGGACACACCCTTAACCCTAACACACACACACACTCGTCATAAAGGGAACTTCATATGCACCCTAATACTATCGGTCATTGGCGGTTGTAGTTATCTCAACCGCAGTTAGTTATAAACGCCCCACAACATAAAATCACCACCGTCCAAATCAGGGAAAAAAACCACCACCGACCCATGGGTCATTCACGCTGCCAACATCTCACTGTGCAAAGAAACACATACATACACTTAACACATACGTCCTAACGAAGTCTTTGCTGGCTACAGCTGCAGCTGCTAGATCAACAGGACTGGAATAGCGTAATTGTCGCAGGGAAGACAGAAGCAGGCAGATCTTGTACGTCTGCCGGCATGGTAACACTCAAACACAGGCCACGGGCACAAGTGCACAGGACACGGGCGTCAGGAAAAGCATACCTTGTGGGTCCATGGCCCCTCCAAGAACCGAAGCCCGCTAAACAGTCCACCTACCTAAAATACGGCCCAGATGCTGCCAGTTACCTCGGCTGTACACACTCCCCAACAATGCAATCCAAATCAACGGTACGGCCGTAATACAACAAGCGATTCCCCGCCATAATAGCAGCGACCCAAGTGTATAGGTAGGTAATCTAGTTGTATCGTCCGGGGCTTCCCTACATGAAAAGGCAATATTAGCTTGTAATTATGTCACTGCCGCTCCTGCACATGCGTTCATACGTCTTGTTCTTGGCAGCAAGCAAATCCCAACCTAACATCACCGCATCCGCAATCCATAGTCATCTATAGTCATCATAGTCCGTACCGCCATCTCAGCAACAACACCTCAGCGGCAGGAACATCACAACTCTTGTCTTCAAGAATGTGTTCAGAGCCCCCCTGCTTGCACCCGCAGCAACAGTCATCGTAGCCGCAGGCAAAACGCGTGGGCGACTTGGGCAACGACCATAGCCAAAGGCAACAAAGGCCAACAACCTGCAATGGTGCTAGCAACAGGCCAGACCAGCCGCAGATGATAAACAGCAGATCCATAGGTTTCAAATCAGCGACAGATACATGGGAAACGACTTAATAAGTGCCCCAGAGCTCGCTTAGTATGTTTGCACACAATCGCTCCTCTCAACGCCACGTCACACGAACGAGAACCTACACATAATACAATGAAAGGCACTCAGTTGCTCTATGCTTTCACTCGGGTATTTTTGGAAAGACAGGGCAGCAAATGAACTAACGAAGGCCTGACGCTCACTCGGTCAGCAGCCGCTGGAGAGCCTTGGCACCCCGTTTACCAACAGTATGGGGTCAAAAGGTTGGACTGGCAATCCTGCAACCGCAACTTTGGTTCAACCCCTGACCAATCCTAGGCATTGACAACAGTGTACCCACATGTGTACAAGTCAGACGTTCGACAGCCGATTCCATCCCATAGGAGACCATGCCCATAAGGGAAGGGTATCCACCGGACCATTATCACAGCGGCACTTGAGCCCGGATGCCTTTAATAAGACCGCCATCCACCCACGCCTCCACACCTGGTAGCCCTAAGACGTTTTCACATATCTCCAAATTGCAAACATATGATGTTGCTGGAGATGAAGCTGGGCGCATGGTGCTTATCCCCGCAACATACAAGCGTTACCATACCTGCTTGCTTTAACATCGTCAATAGCAGCTTGAGCGTGGCCACAATTCTTCGCGTGAGCCAAGCCGTCCGCTGGCTTCACCGTTACTAGCATTAGGAGCTAACATCGCAATGCAGACTGACAACCACATAGCCAGCCTGCAGATGTGCTTTCCAATGCAGCGTGCATGCTACGTGCTTCCTTGCTGCTCCAAGCTTCGAGACGCAGTACTTGATAACATAGCTGTGTGTAAGTACGCCTATTGTCTGCACTTGGATTTCCAGGCTGGGGGTCCGAAATTTTGCCATCAATGACTGTTGGGCTACATTGATTGCAGCGTCATCTCATTAAACAGAATCGCCCTCCCTGTGGATTGGTATTGGGACAAGCTTGTGGTGAGCATGATAACTAGGTAAGTCGACGGTCAACGTCTTTTTCAAGAATCCTTGCAGACACAACGTCAGGGGCATTGGCTTACCATAGAAGATGAACAAACCGAAGAGAAGTATAAGTAGCCCAATAGCCTCAAGCATCGGCATAAGAAGTTCTTGGGTCAGGCGTCCTGACCGGGTTTTGGCGGCTAAGTTTGGAGTAGCCTGCATCATAGAGCTTGCTGGCTCACTAGTTGCACCCATAAACGAAGATTCAGAGCAGTCGTCCACGGTTGTGTGGATCCCTGCGTCATACATGCAGGAATGGGCTGCATGGTGAACGGTGCACACATACATTGCAAAACAAGTGCATAGGTGTCCACACAAGTCAGTAACGCGGCTTTTTATGTCCTCTCCTGCCACCCTACAGAGTATAAAGTTCCACGTACTTGTCAAGTATGGATGCGGCGAGGGTAGCACCTCCTCAGCGCTAAGATCTCTAGGCCTCTAGGAAACGTCCGCTTAATTACAAGGGTAATGTAAGGTTCCTGGCAGCAACGTGCCGATCGCGGCAAGCTCAAGCGACCTGTCCAAGTTGCTGCAAAGTTCTGTGCACAGGAATGGCCCAAGGCAGAGGCGCTGTTCCTAATAAAGTGCGTTACAAGTCCACATACATATTCGGTATGTGCTGGGAACTGTCAGGAGGCTCAGGACCATTCAGCATTATCACTAAACCGCCGACGTGTACGACGTGATGTGCTCTATTATTTCCCTGAGGTCCATGACACGGCCTTTGCGTATCGCAGCCTTGTGCTCGGGCCCTTTACGCACCAACGCATGTTTAAATGGGATTGCTGGCAAAAGTTCTTTGCTGTGAAGTACCGGTACGGAGAAGGGCGCCTCTGACATGACAGAAAATGCAAGCTTAGCTTTCTTAAGGGAAGTATAAGTCGACAAGTGCTTAAGGAAGCATCGCGGGCATACGCAGCCAATGTTCTCGGCGACCCAACTGAACATCAACGTGAGTGGCAGCAGCGCGTTTGACGCGATAGGCGGCACTACGTACAACAGTACTTCCATTGGTCTCTTGTTTGCACCTGCTAAATTGCTACGAGCCCTTGCCACGTGTGAATTTCAATTGCCGCCAAACTTGCATTGCCCAGTTTACCACCACCTGGCCCATTAAATGCTAAGCCCCACGTCATCCGACCTACATGCAATCGCAGTGCACCCACCACCACCACCGAACTCATTTTCAACAGAAGGGGATACGTTCAGCTCCACTTGCCTCCAACTCTCCTCCTCCTCGCATTGAGACCACCCTCTCTCACCCAACCCTACCTCACCCCACCGTCATCGCTACCCGGCCCCTACCCTATCCCACCCACCGTCACCGTCACTCCCCTGTCCCGCCCATGGTTATGCTGTGGTGCCTCTCTACCTTCCCGCCAATCACATCACCACACACCCACGCCGCCCCCGCGCCCCCTCCTCTCCCGACTTCGCTCCCACGCCCTCCGCATCCCCTGCACCCGCACCGCCGGACAGCGGGCGGTGCGTGAAGCGCACGCCTGTGTCCTTCGCCACGATGTGTCCGTCCCCTCGCAGCAGCCACTTGGAGGTCAGCAGGCCCTCCACCCCCACCGGGCCGCGCGCGTGGATGCGGCTGGTGCTGATACCCACCTGCGGAGGTTGGGTGGTTAGGAGGGCCCCGGGGACAGGCGTGGTTTGGGAAAGGCGGATAGGGGTGCGGGCGTTGTGGGGTGGAAGCAGGGCGAGGAATACCAATACCGGTTAAAGGACCTGCATTCATATCATCAGGCCCCGTAACCATAAAGGTACAAACATACAGCAGCTGGTTCGGTTGACACGTGACAGTCACAATGCTTGTGACCGTACGGCAAGCATGCCAGGTACCAAGGTACGCAACGCAACCCACCTCAGCCCCCAGACCGAACCGGAAGCCATCTGCAAACCGAGTGGACGCGTTGTGGAAGACGCAGGCGCTGTCAACGGCACGGAGGAAGGCATCCGCACGCGCGCCGTCCGTGGTCACGATGCAGTCCGTGTGGGAGCTGCCGTACCTGTGCACGGCAACGTACGTACGATTCGATCCCGGTCGTACAACGGACGTTAAATGGACGAGCGGGAGAGCTAATGTACGACACATGCACGACCATTCTATGCCGTACCCTTGGCCTCCTCACTCACTTGTGTATGTGGTCGATGGCGTCCTCCATGCTATCCACCACCTGAAGGGGTATGCAACAGGGTTGCGAGTAGGTAGGAGACGGTGAGATAAGGAGAACAGGCAAGAGGTGTCATGACGGTTTAAGCTCCCCTGGTTGGAACAGGATAGATATGGCTCGCCACGCGGGTCTGTTGCCCGCCAAGATCACTCACCAGCGACCACAACGGTCATGCTAAACACCGGCATGCACCAGGAATGCGAGTGCACCGGCCTAAACGAGTCCCCCAGAAGTGCGGTGTTTGCCGTACTTCCCCCTTCCACAGCGCAGCCGCCCCATTGCACGCTGCTGAGATACGCCGCGCCGGTGGTCACGGCCCTGGCCCCTCACGCTCACGAACATGCCCACCTCAGCCCCTCTCCTACCCTCCCCCCCACCACACACACGCACACCGCCTTATCACACGGTTCGTTAGTCGTTTAAAAACACACACGGCCCTCATCCATCACCCCGCACCCCCCCACCCTCTCGTCCTAGCCCTCACCTCCAGCGTAACCGCCATTGCGCTGTACTCGTGTCGCGCTGCGGGTGCGGGCGGCAGGTCCGGCAGCTCCGACCTGAGGCTGCTGCCTGCTTGGGGGCAGGACAGCGGGGAAAAAAGTAGGGAACGGGGAATGGGAAAGGGGAGAGAAGGATAGGGAAGATGGCAGGGCGGGGTGGTGCTAGGAGAGGCAGGCGGGCACGGCAGTTGAGCGGTGAGTGAGTGGAGCGGTTCGAATTGCCCGCGTGAGGCGGTGGGCTGGGGCAACTGGTACCGTCCGAGGGAGCCTGCACGCATGACGGACATGAGGGCATGCATGCACGCGTGTAAGAACACGGCTTTCCTGTTGACCATGTCTCCGCCCACACACACCACACCTGCATACACCGTCACGCCGGCCTTCTGAAGAGCCTCCTGGATGGTCTGCAGGGAGGGAGCAGAGGAGGGAGGAAGAGGAGGAGAAGGAAGGGAGTGGTGAGGGGAAAGCTGACTGGAGGAGACATTAGTGAGAGGACACCCCGTTTCACACCACTGCGATGATCAGCTTCAGGTAAGGGGCAGGCACGTCAAAGAAATACATGCTAACCAGCGTTGCATGGACCGGCTGGAAAGTATCGAGCAGACCTGAGCACGGGACACACGCTTCAGCAATACACAGTCCACGCCCCAAGGAAGTCGCCGACCCATGGGTCCGTCGGTCGGTCACTCCACTCCCCTCGTGCCCCTTCCCCAACCCACCTGCAGGCCGCCCTTCTGCTGCCAATCCCGGTGCACCAGCACCTTCTCCACCGCGTTGCATGCTGCGGGGTAGTCCGTCTTAGCGTCCAGCACGATACGCAGCGCGGTGGGTAGGTCGGCAGCAGCGTCCACATACACATGGCAGATGCCGTCGGCGTGTCCCAGCACGGGGATGCGGGTGTTGGCTTTAATATGGGACACGAGTGCGTTGGAGCCGCTGAGTGGGAGGAGGGAGGGGGCGGGGGGCCGGGGGGGGAATAGCGGTTAAGGGGGGCCGCGAGGTGGCGGTGAGAGGGGGAGTTAAGGGGCTGGGGTTTGGGATACGTGCCTCTCCTCTCCTACACCCCCCCTCCCTCTCCCCCCCTACCGCGGAATGACCAGGTCCACCACATCATCCAGCGCCAGCAGGCTCTCGATCTCCTCGCGGCTGGTCACCAGCCCGATCAGGTCGGGGCCCAGCGAGGGGCCCAGCGCGGCGGTGATGATGCGGTGCAGGCAGGCGTTGGAGTGGGTGGCCTCCTTGCCGCCCTGCAGGGCGAGGGAGGGAGCGGGGGGGGGGGGTAAGGGACGGGGACTAACACGGTACCCGTGCCCTCTGCTACTACCCTGCGTGGATGAATGCGGCATTCTGGCTGTCAGCCCGCCTTTCCGCCCATCCTCCACACCCCACCTTGAGCAGCAGTCCGTTTCCGGAGCGGATGGCCAGGCTGGCGATCTGCGGCAGCGCGTCCGGCCGCGCCTCGAAGATCACCAGCAGCACACCGATGGGAACCGTGACCTTGTCCAGGATGAGGCCTTAGGAGGGGAGGGGTTTAGGGTTTTAGGGGTTTAGAGAGGAAACGGTGGGGGGGTGGGGGAGAAGGGTAAGTGGGGCCTTACGTGAGACAGTTCAGGGGGTTTAACTGTCAGGCGACGAGACGCAACACCGACCCACGGTTCAACCACACCTTCCGCCATTTCCACCCTACCCACCAAGCTCCGCACCCGTACCCATCCCCAACAAACCTCCACCCCAACCCCAACCCACCTTCCGCCACCTCCACCTTCCTCAGCAGCCTGCCCAGCGGCTCCTCCTGCGCCGCAATGGCCCGGATCCCCTCCGCCAGCTGCGCAATCTTGGCGGGCTTCAGCACCAGCCGCTGCATGAGCGAGTCGGAGATGCGGCCCTGGCTGTCCGCAACGTCAGCCGCGTTGGCCTGCAGGATCTCATCCTGCGCCGCCACCAACGCATCCGCCACCCGCAGCAGCAGCTCGCTGCGCTGCTGGCTGCTGAGCGCCTGCAGCCGCCGGCTGGCCTCGCGCGCCCGCACCGCCATGTCACGTGCGCTGCTGGCTGCGGCCGCCGCCCGCGCGCCGCCCGCCGCCTCGGCTGCTGCGGGGTCCAGCAGGGTGCCCACGTCCTGCCCGGCTACGACGCGCAGCAGCACGTCGGGCTCACCTGCGGCGGCTAGCACCACTGGGATGCCGCTGAGGGGGATGGGGGAGGGTGGGAACGTGGGAATATACGGGAAGCAAGAGACCCGCGTTGCTAGGACATTTACGTGATGACCGGTGGGGGCTGTGGACAGTGATGGCAGGAGAGTCAAGGGGTTATTGCGAACCGGTAGAGATCAGGCGTTAGGGCCTACGCGCGGCTCAAGGGGTAGGAGGTCTCGCGCAGGCACCGGTTCCACTACCCGCGCCTGGGGCCTGACCACTGTACCAGTACCAACTGTATGGGCGCGTTCCGAGTCTCGACCAACACATACCTGGCGCCGCTAGTGGCCGCCTCGCCCTCTGGGGAGGCGGTGGCTGGGCCGGAGGCGAGCTGCCAAGCCGCTGCTACCAGGGGGGAGGGAGGGGCCGCGGAGGAGGAGGGCTGGTAAACGCGGGCGATGCGGCCCTGCAGGAATGGGGTGGGAGAGACGAAGCGGGAGAAGGAGAGGAGAAGAGTTGCCAGAGGAGTTGGTAAGGGGCAGGGTGCAGGAGGCAAGTGCCCCGGTACACCCCGGCAGCCCAACAGCCGCCATCCCGCCCTCTCCTCCGCTTCGTCTCTCCCCCACCCAACCTGTTCCCCTCTCCTGCAGAGGCAGGTAAAAGCAGATGGCTACCCTCCACTACCCTATCCTCTCGCCTGCTGCACTCACATCCTGCCCCGTCACGCCCCTGCAGCCCGACAGCACCACCAGCAGCTGCGCTCCGAAGCCGCGAGCCGCCTCCGCCGCCAGCAGGGAGCCCTCCTCGCCGCCCGACACGTGCGGCGCGAAACACACGTCCACAACCGGCTCCTGTGAGGTGGGGACACAGGACGGGGGAGAGGGAGGTGGGGAGGGTGCAGGGTAGGAGGAGAAAGTGAGTATGGAAAGAGGGGGTGAGAGCAGAACTCTTGGTGATACTCCCTAGCCCACATTTGATCCAGCTGCTGTAAAGCCCCAACCATCCCCAAACCCACCCATCACCAAGGGTTGCCACTATCGTTCACAGCATCTTTCTCCCCTGTTTCTCCCCTGCCTGTACTAGGGTTCCAGACACTTCTACACGCGAGCACGCCCACCTTGAGCTTAATGAGGTTCTGTACGGCATGAACGGCCTTGTCGCATGCAGCTGGTTCGCCTGGTGGAGGTTGCGAGGAAGCGGAGGGGAGCGCATGAGTGCATGACATAGGCCCCACGCTACAGCTGAGACCCTTGCTGCCGTTCACGCGCCCGCCCCTGTAGGTCCCCGTTCCCCGTTCCCAGCCCGCCTCAGCAACTGCTTGACACACGCCACACACCACAGTCATACCTTACCCACCCAGCAAACTCGCCAACACCGCCCTGGACCCCTTACCCTCCTTGCTTTATCAGAACCCAACCCGACCCAAATCACCGGGCACCCTGGAAACACCTCTCCCACTCCCGCACCCGCCACCAAAGGGTCCCGCATGCCTTCCACGTGCCCATGCTCCCGAGTTGTGCTCCGAACCAACCCAAACCTCTCCCAGTTTCCAGAACCCCCTACCCCGGTTCCTGCAACCGTCTCTCCCGGTTCTAAGAACCCCTGTCCCCCTCATCCTTCCCCTCACTAACCCGCCATCACGAGTTGCAGCTGGTAGCCCAGAGAGGCAAGCAGCTGCAGCTGGTCCGTTAGGGCGCCTGCGGGGGATGTGAGGGACGAGTTGAACTGGGTGTACGGTGGAGGCACGACAGGAGCAGCGTGAGTGAACAATAGGATGTTGTGGGGGGGCAGAGAGCCATATGCCCATGCCCATGTCCGAAAGGCACATGGTTCCCGAGGTAAAGTATGCAGGAGCGGTTGGTCCGCAGGGGACTTGCGTCCAAGTAAAAGCTTTGAGGACACATGGCTGCCTCTGAACGTTGTACGTTTGTTTGTTTATATAAAAGGAAAAATCCTGCGGGCCGCACTGCGCACCTAGAAGAGCCAAAGAGATGCCCTGTCCATCTTGGCTTACAACGGACGTGATCGCCACCTGCAATATTCGTGTTAGATGTTTTAGGCAAGTTCAAAGCCAACATCATGCCGTTCGTAGGCCACATGGTACTCCGACGATCGGGCCGACCGCGCCGTCGGAACCCACCTGCAAAGTTATCTTGCGTGCAGCAGCTACGCCCTCGCGAAAAGCTACTGGCTTACCAAAACGATCGACTAAGATTCCGCCCATAATCCTTGATGTGTTGCAAAGGAATTGGGAAATGTGTAGTTCCAAGTCTAGTGTCAGGCTTGCTGTTAACTACTTGAAGTTATAGTATGTTGCAAACTGAACATAAGATTACGTGTAAGCGATGTACGTGTGAGGGGGTTCCCCCAGGTTCCATCCGTGCAGCTGGCAAAAAAGCATGGCTGTTTCAATTATACAGGACTCTACTCTCACCAGAACAACTGGCACTGTTATGATGCACTAGTATATATAACTAACTCTCTTGGCCCAAAACTTGGCACCATGCCTCGGCGCCGCGTGCTTGCGGGCCTGGCTCTTGCACTATTCTTGCCCCTTCTCCTAGCGATCCTATTAGCTGTTGTTGATGCCGCTGAACCTGTTCCTGCGGATGTGCCACCTGCCATATTTACCGTCAAGGGGCTTGTTCACGCATTTCGCGCCTTTTGGGACATCGTTGGGCCCGGCGGCAAGCTGCATCCAGCTTACTTTCTAGAACATAAGGGGCATCTTGTCATCGAGGGCATCCTGATCGCACTCATCGTGTACTTGGCGCTGCAGCATTCGTTCAAAGTGCATCGGCGCGCCGAAGACCCTCTTACAGATAAGGTTGGTTCGCAACAGAAACTTACTGGTAGCACGTTGCTTTTGGCTTCATGGCATCCAGGTAATGTTTGTGTTTGCAAGGTCCAGCCAAATTGCAAATCGTATCCTTGCGTTTCCTAAGGTGCAGTATATGTACCCTGAAGGTAGCTACTGGTAATCCGAAGGACCTAAAGTACCCCGACCTCGCTCATGCGGTAACCCCACGTCCACCGCCTGCCCCGTGCTCACAAACTGCGGTGCCTTTCCCCCTCCCCAGGAAATTGACCAACTGTGCAAAGAATGGAAGCCCGAGCCGCTGGTCCCCACCATTCCGGAAGCGGAGCAGCTGCCGGAGCCGCCCGTCATTACCGGGTAGGGTTAACATCGGATGTCTCTCGGGTGTCTCTCTCGGGTGGTGGTCATAAAAAGTGCCATGCCTCGGTCAATGACGGAGTTGGGCTGTGCAGAGAGGCGGCACCCCTCATGGCATTAGACGGTCGCGACGCGGACTCCTTGCCATGCTTGGTATCTTGCCTTTTGAGTGGTTGCATCTACCTTTGCCTCCGCAGTTTGGACGGCCCTTACGTCTACCTGCAAGGCCGTAAGGAGAAGGTCCTACACCTGGCCTCCTCAAACTACCTCAACGTAGCTAACGACCGTGTCAGCAAGGTAGGATCCAATGGTTGTTTGCGACCACAACGTACTACGATGAGCTCGAGGGAGGTTGTGAACGACCCGCACGCAAAACTGGGAAGCGCTCTTCTTTGTGGAGCCTGGACTTCCAAATGCAGTACTTCACGCTTAACGGCATTGCCTCCTCTCACTTGTGTCCTGCACCACGACAGGAGGTTAGCGTGAACACAGTAAACAAGTACGGCGTGGGTTCATGCGGCCCACGTGGCTTTTACGGCACCATTGACGTACATCTACAGCTGGAGCAGGAGCTTGCCGTGCACTTTGGTACGGAAGCCGGAATCATCTATTCGTACGACGTAGCCACTATTACCTCGGTCATTCCCTGCTTTGCCAACCGCAAGGATATCATCGTCATTGATGAGGTAAGACGGTAACAGCGGTTGGGTCTTCCCCCTATCCTATTCTTACTATATTGCGAACAGTCATTCGCGAGCACTTCACACATTCTTCCCTTACTGTCTTTCCCGCCCTTTACCCCTCCCCCTGCCCCCAACCATGCCCCCCGGCTCCCTCCCTGGTGCAGTTCTGCTCCTACCCCATCCAGGCGGGCTGCAACGTGAGTCGCGCGCGAGTGGCCACCTTCCGTCACAACGACGTGGCGGACCTGGAGCGCGTGATTCAGAAACTGGAGGCGGAGGAGAAGGCAAAGCGGTGAGAGGGAAAAGGAAAAGAGGGGCGGGGATAGGGGAGTAGCATAAGTACGCGAGGAAAAGGGAGGGAAGAGACATAAGTTGGGAAAGAGGGCGTGGGTAAACCGGAAGTTGAAAGCGGCGGAGGGGAACGGGAAGAGGCGGAGGGTGAAGCGGCGAGGTAGTTGGCAGGGTAGTGAGAAAGGAGGTGGCGGCGGGGGGCGACGAGATCAACATTCCTGCGTCTGACTTCCTCCCTGCCTCACCTCCTCTCGCCCTGTGCCCTCCTGGTTCCTCCTCCGCCCCCCCCCAGCAAGCCGCTGTGTCGCAAGCTGATTGTGGTCGAGGGCATCTACGGCAACTATGGCGACCTGGCCCCTCTGGACCGCATCTGGCAGGTCAAGGACAAGTACAAGTGAGTGTGCATGGCAGGGAGAGAGGAAGAGCAAAGACCTGCACTCTGCTGCACCATGTCCCTTCTATGATCTCCCCTTTTTTCGTTTCCTTCACCGCGCTCGGTGCTTACGCTCCCTCTGCCCGTTGCCCTGCGCCATTCATACAACATCCACACCATCCACTGCCCTTTGCAAGCAACCCCATACGCCTTTGCCCCCCGTTCCTTCCTCTTCACTTTCCTCGCACCCTCTCCTCCGCAGGTACCGCCTGATGGTGGACGAGTCGCACGCATTCGGGGTGCTGGGCGCCACTGGCCGGGGGGCATGCGAGCACTTCAACCTCAAACCAGGACAGGTATGGGGGGTTAATGGGGGCATTGGGAGGCGGAGGTGAAGGCGTTGAACCACAAAGCCAAAGGCCACAAAGGCCACACGTGGATGCGACGAGCAGGGTTGAGGTGGGGCTGGGTTGAAGGCCGCAAACCCCGCAGCAGCAGCGGCGGCAACAGCAAAAGAAGCTATCCCGGTCCGCCGCCCTCTCTCTAAACTCCATCCAACCTGCACCCAACCCCAACCCAAGGTCGAGATCGTTGCCGCCTCCATGAGTCATGCCATGGGCAGTGTGGGCGGCTTCTGCGTGGGCGACCGCGCCACGGTGGAGCACCAGCGCCTGTGCGGCAGCGGCTACTGCTTCTCCGCCTCGCTGCCGCCCTACCTGGCGGTCAGCGGGATCAACATGCTGAAGAGCCTGCGGGGGGAGGCGCCGCTGGCGGGCTCGGGAGGTGCGGCAGGCGGCAGTGGGAAGGAGCTGATGGTGCGGCTGCAGGCGCGCATCCGGACGATGCGAGGAGAGCTCCTGCGGGGGCTGACGGGTGAGTTGCGAGGAGGGAGGGAGGGAGAAGAGGGAGGGGAGGAAGAGTGAGGATAGGGGGGTTGTGAGGTTGAAGAGGGGAAGGGGATAGTCGTGGCTCTTACGAGGTTTAATTGGATGCAACAGTGCTGTCGGGGCTTCACATAACCCGCTAGTGTGACCCACCATTCTCTCGCGCCTCCTACAAGAACCTCATTATACCGGTACTGAAATCTACGCATCATCAACAGGCCTCAAGCTGTACGGCGGCGGCGGCCCTTCCCCCATCCTGCATTTCCACCTCGCCAAGCCCAGCGGGGACTACGCCGCCGACCACGCAACGCTGCGGGCCGTCGCGGACCACATGCTGACCCATGGGTCGGTGCTGGTCAGCGTGTCGCTGTACAGTGTCCTGGACACGCACAAGCCGCCGCCCAGCCTGCTCATGCACGTGCATGCGGGCCTGAGTGACAAGGATCTGGCGGTGGCTGCCGGGGCGCTACGAAGGGCGGTCAAGGAGGTGCTGAAGCAGTAGCCATGGGGAGGTGCGGGCTGCGGGGCTTACTGAGAAGTATGAGGTACGGACAGATCAGGCGTTGGTAGGGGGGTTTGTGTAAGGCGGATGGTGAGGTTGATGGTGGTGCTGGTTGCTGGAAACCATGCCCTGGGACCGGCTAAGGATATGGCTATCCAAGGGTTTGCGCTACTACGTAATAGTGCTACGTGGGGATAATCGTGGGCCGATTTGAGATGTCACATGGGGTGAGCAGCAGTGCCTTTATCTGTTGGTTGCTTTACTTGATGGTTTTGTTGGCGCAGCGAGGGAGCAGGAGGATGAGCTGACCCTTGGGTTACGAGAAGTGGACGTAGTTCGATGCCATATGGTCTCGTAACCTCCGTGGTACGGGTTTTGGGGACAGATTGCGGGCTGATTTGCTTTGGGTATAACTCTTGTATGGACAGTATACGGACCTCCCAAACATTGAAAACAACCTAGTCCGCGCGAAGGATGGCTGGGCGAGCGACTGGAATCCTTTTTATACTATGGGTGGGTTGCCAATTTTGGGGATGGAAAGGATGTACTTGGAAGGTTAAAACAGAACACCTTATGCACGGTCGCCCACAGCTCCGGTGGTGTGGGGAAGCACCGAGCAGATTAGCAGTTTTTGGTTACTTGTGCGCAATGGCATGGGGTTTGTGTGTTCATCCTCGTGCTGGTGTAAAAGTCTATTGAGTGCTGGACTGCTGGGAATGTTCAAGGACGCTCTGGTCTTCTGGCGTCCTGGCTTTGCTCGGGTTTGCGTATGGAGGACAAGCATACGGACTCTAAATTACTAACCCAGACGCGCTGCGAACACTACTAATTTAGCTCTACGGATATCCGGATTGTACAGGATGAAAACGAATGTTCGGGGGGCCCCTGTCCTGGGCCTGGACAGCCACCGGCAGCCCTAGAGCATGTGTTGTACGACAAAGCATGCTCGGGCCTAAGCATGTGTCGTACGACAAAGCATCCTCAGTCCGTGTCGGCCATGCTCAGGCCTGGGCGGACCGTTGCGTTGCATGGGATGGGAGGCATAGGGGAGTATAATGGAAGCCGACCGATGCGAAATAGTCACTAACAGCCCCAGGCATTCCTCTGCGTGCGGAGTGAGAGTTAGCTGTGTAAGAAAGGGCACCCTGTCGTGTAACATAATACATTGACGGCTCAAATGCGAAGGCAGCCCTCTCCTGTCTTCGGCTCTATGGCCGGTGTCCGTGCCCTCTGAAGTTCCCTAAGCAATGGACTCCGTTAACCAACCGCAGCATCATTGTGATTCTCACATTTCAAATGCTACCGGCCGCTGCCGCTTGAAATCATCTCGACCTAGCATTGCAGGATCTCAGGTAACCCGGGGTTTGGAATGGCACGTCGTACAGATGTATCACTAATACTGTACGGGCCCCGTGGTGCTCTACTTGCATTTGCCAATGACATCTTGCTGTAGTTTTGATTATATACAATGGACTTTTAGGCGGTTATACAGTACGATGCCATGACACTGTAGGTAAAGTGTAGCCACAATTCGACGCCGGTATGGGTAATTAAGAAGCAGTCCGGCTATTGCTTAGTCATTTAGACGTAGTTGCACTCAAATGTGGGCCCAAAAGGGTTTCCATGGCTCGCGGCTGTCGAGCCAACCAGCGCCGAAGTCGCAAGGCTTGCTGCCAACGCATTATAGAAAGACTAAACGCATCTTTTGGAATTGTCATGGAATTCCTTATGCTGGTTCATTTTTGGTTGAGGCCACTACAAAGCCTGCTCGTGATAGCCATGAAGCGGAATCCGTCAAGCATCCGCACGACGTCACGGCGACAAGCGCCGCGAGCATGCTGCCAAAGGAGCAGTCACAACATACGGCTCTGACGCCACGGCAGCGGAGACTAGCGCAGCAACAGCGGTAAGGACTACCGTATCCTTGCCGTCAATGCCGTTAAATGCCCGAACGGGCTCCATTCTGCAGAGGCACCTCTTTGCTATATTCTTGAATTCATCGCTGTTTTTGATCCTCAGGAAATGGCGGGAGCAAGAAGAACAGCAGCAGAAGCAAAAGAAGCAGAAGCCTCCAAAGCAGCAGCAGCAGCAGCAGCAGGGCTACCACCAGCGGCCGGAGACGACGCCCGCTGCTGCCGCTCCTGCACCGTTGCTACCTCCCACTAGCAGCACAACTAGTAGCGGAAAACGTCGCCAGCGGCCTTCTCCGGCCACTCCTCCATCAGTCTCGGCTCCCGCCTCAAGAGCAAATCCTCCTTCTGTTGCTTTAGCACCTGCAGCTGCTGCTGAGCAACTAGCTGCCAGCGCCGGCCCCGTAAAACTGAGCTCCTTCCTAGTCAATCCTCAAAGGAAATCCGGAGATGGGCCCGAGGCTCCGAACCCCCGCCCAACAGCATCATCCCCATCACAGCCGCCACCACACTCCAAACTTCAGCACGCCGGCGTCTCGAGCAACAGGCAGCAGGTGACACCTGTTGAACCCGTACAGCCATCACCACCTTGGTGCGCCCCGGTGCAGCTACAGGGCCGCCAGGGGCAGCGGGGGCAGCAGCAGGGGCAGGGACAGGAGCCGCTCCCAGCCCTGTTCGCGGCTGCTGGGCTCCCTCTGTCGCGCGACAGCAGCTCCCTCCTCGACCTGAAATCCCTGTCGGGCCCGCAGCTAGTGGCGCTAGCAAGGGCGTGGATGCGGGACCTAGCGGAGTGGAAGTCAGCCCCACCGCCTTCCTCCTCACCTTCACCTTCCTGTTCCTCCCCTTCTTCCTCCTCCACACCCTCCGTTTCGCCCTCCTCATTACCTCCTGCTTCTTCACCTTCCTCCACCTCGGGTCCATCCGCCTCGCCTTCCGTGCCCAGAAGCAGCAGCAGCAGCGGCACCGGGGCTGCGGTTGCGCTCCCCAACGCAGCAGCTGAGAGACTCGCGCTGTTGACAGCAGCTGTGACCTCCCATATGACCCACGGGTCGCTGGGTCAGCAGGAGCTGGCAGACCTGGTGTGGTGGGTGGCGCAGTACGACAGGGCGCATGCGCTACAGACGCTGTACCCGGCCCTAGGGCTGCCCTTCCATGTCATCCCTGGGGTGTTCCCAGAACTGAAGCTCGAGGTGAGCGTGTATATTCTGTGGACTGTGTATATGAAGACATCGGGGCTTAACGGGGCTTATGTTTAATTGTGAACCGGCAAACTGAAGACCACGCCATCACATGCGTTAACTTCCATTGCATCCGGCGGGACTGCTCTTCAGGATTTTATGGCGGAAGTGGAGCTACGGCGTGACGTCATTTACCTGGAAGATGGATCCAGGTACGATATAACGAGTGCGACAACAGTGGATCTTTGAGTCCAGGCTGTAACCCTGACACCTGGCATCCTCGTCTCTGCTAATTTTCTTACAGCACTACGGAGTGTAGTTTACCCCTACGTACCTGACCCATGGGTCGCAGGGCCGTGGAGGAGTCCCGCTTGACTGGCTGGCAGTCTGACATCGGAGCCACGTTCAGGTGGGTAGGCGGTTGTGCCAGGGGTCAGGGGTGGGGGCGCGGGCAGGGTAACGGTTAAAATCCTACAGGAATTTGTCTTCAGCTCCCTACCCTAGTCGTGAGGGCTAGGATCGGGTGCCCGTGGGGGCGCAGGTGGCGCCGCTTCAAAGGCTGGCATGGCTGGGCTTTGGATAGTACAAACAAACCGCTGAAGGGTTGTACCAATGGTGATGCTTTAGAGCGGCAGGTGGGGCTTGCGCGGCTCCATCTGCCTCCGGGTGGCGAGTGTGGCTCAGTGCTTGCTTGGCTGGCTAGCTATGAGGCGCTGACCCAGGTGTTTCTGCACCCGCCCTCGTACGGTTCATTCAGGTACAGCGGCAAAGAGATGCAGCCTCAGGGAGGGGGCGGCTTCACACCTGCGATTCGCAAGGTAAGGACTAAGGAGGTAGAGGGCGATGCCACCACCACCACCACCACCACCGTTGATTGGGTTCATCACCCGTGTTCCCTTTTAGGGAACCGGTACCGGTATAACGGTCATTCATTCATAACGGTCATTCATAACGGTCATTCATTCTCATGACGCCGCTGCCGCTGCCGCCCCACAGGTTCGCGACGCGCTGCAGCAGCTGACGGGGATCCCGTACGACAGCGTGCTGGTCAACTATTACGCGGACGGGAAGTGCGGCATGCGGTACCACGTGGATCCGCTGTACGACAGGTGGGGCCGCGTTAGGAGTGTCGTACAGTCGTAAACGTTTTAGCGATACCGGTATACAAACCACCTAAACCTTATCCACACGTTACCCTACTCCAGGAAGTTGAAATTAGGAAAGCTTGTGCGATGCGGTGGGTCGGAACACTGCTGTTGGGACCTGCTGTTCCGTAACCTCACGAAACACACCTCTGGTCGCACACATGACTTCCGCATAGTGCTGCATTCCGTGTGACCCCTCTGCCATCCTTCATGCGGAGTTGCCTGTCTTCCCCTCTTGGTGATCGTGGAATCCTTGTTGCAACACAGGTGGACCCCCGAGTCGGCGGTGGTGTCTCTGGGTGACACGCGCACCTTCGTCTTCCGGGCCATAGAGGACTTCAGTTGCAGGTGCGGTCATTACGCTGCCTAGTCCCTGCCTTGGCGGTCTTGATTGTCGTACCTTAGCCGTACGCACTGTGGTTGGAAACGTGCGTGTTTTGCGCTGCATGGAGGGGAGGATCTTTGGCTGCAAGTTTGGGAAGCACGGTGGCTGTGACAGACATATGGATGATGGGGCTAACGTATACATTGGGGCTCTGTGTAAACGCTAGCGGGTCCGGCTGTCAGGGACAGTTGTGTTTTTATGATCATTCCTGCACTCGCTACAGGTTTGAAGCCACAACTCTTGTTTTTCTTTCACCCACCATCGCACCCATGTTCGTTACCGCGCCAAGGCGTTGGGTAGTGGTTGCCATGACATCTCATTTTATTTCATACCTTTCTCGGCCTTTTGGCTCAGATCATGTGTAGTATCTGTTCTTGTAAGTCTAATCGCTTACATGGTCCTCATTGAGGACCTGCGATTAACTTCATATTTTGAGGGGGTGTGGTCAATGGGTGCGCTTGCGCATCCGACCCACCAGCATGGTTGCGGCCTTAAACTACCGCCGTAGCCGTGCACCCTACCCAATGAATTTACACCTGACACCTACACGCGCTGTGTTTGTGTGTAATGTAGCAGTTTTGCCTGCAACCTAGGGTCACTCAATCTTTCCTTATTATCCTCCGCCCATCAGGTGGCAGTACCGAGTTGGCAACGGCGATGTGGTCCGCATGTTCGGTGACTGCCAGGAGCGGCTGCAGCACTGCGTGAGGGTGGAGCGGCGGGCGGAGGACGCGGGGCCGCGCATGTCTCTTGTGTTCAAGGAACGGCTGAGGGACGCGGAGGGGCGCTACCTGCTGCCGTGAAGGGCGGGCAGTGAAGGAAACGCGTTTGGGGGGCGGAGGAGGAGGGACGTGGCATAGCGGTATGCTGCTGTGTGCTGACCTGATGCGCCTGGCATGCTGGTTCTATGGCTTCTGAAAGGGGTGGCTAGGTGGGTGTTCCTCACACTAACATGTGTTGCGAACATGTGTTGCTGTGGGGCATTGGGGCTTGCGCTTAATGGAAAAGCCCAGAGGTCAGCAGGACAGAGCTTTCATTAGCACCAGTAGTGTGGCACCAGTAGTCAAGAGGGTGCATCGAGTAAGAAGACATGTGCAAAACCGCATGCATCCAGACATTTCGGATGCCTTGAGGTGGTGTAACGCCAGAGGCACAGGAACGGTGGCATGGGGTGGCATGGGGAAGAGACGGAGGAGGCGGGTTATGCATCGTCCCGACTTTGGAAACAGATGTCCCACAAACGTGTCATGCGGAGAATGATGTCCGGGTCTTACCGTGTGGGTTTCAGTTTGGGAAGGCGCTACCATGGTGCAGCCGTCGTCCCATGCTTATGGTGCAGCCAACGCCCCGCTCGCACACCCTTCCTCTTGATGATGTGACTCGTGCCATAAGGTGCGCAATGGCCTTACAAAGGAGAGGCTGCCCACACAAGCCGCCGCAAAGCTTGTATCGGAATCGTGCCGACTGCTATCATCTTAGTTAGGATACTTATTGTGAAGGAGCGAAATTAGTAAGGTAAGAGCAATCCAGAGCATACCACCCCCGCCGACCCCTCACGCGGCCCACATGTGTTTTCCCTCCCATCATCCCTTAGTAAGCCAGGCGATAAAATCAACCTAATCAACAAATGTGAACATGTTGAATTGGGCCCAATCCTCCCACACCAGAACCGCCCTGACCTCCTTCACCTACTCCACACAACCTCTTGAAACGAAGAAGCTGTCGAACCAACAACACCATAAAGCACTGCCATCCGCTGGCTCACGCAGGCACATGCGGGCTGCTCTTCCACCCCCTAGCTCACTCCAGCGCGCGTCTCTCAAGCTTCAATCCCGCAGCGTTGCGCTTCGAACAAAAGAAAACAGCCAAAAGAGGCAAAAAGAGAAGCCCAACAGCACCGCGCAACAATCCTCAGTATGAATGACCACAAATGCAACAGCCCTGAGCTAGGGCCCGATGGTAGCTCCTCCTAGCAAAGTGTTTTCAAATTAATCCCATCCTTCCCACGCACACGTGCGCACAAATGCGCAGTACCCGGTGGGTGCCCCACTTTAAACCGCTGCTGGGGTACCTGGCCCAGCACCTTTCAGACTGGGTGCACGCTCCATTACACGAGTGTAATGCAAGGCTACCCACAGCTGGCTTCGTAAGCACAGATACCAGAGGAACACCCGCGCATGCAACAATTACAGCACGTTCCGACTCGCGGCCAGTACTTTTTAACACACCAATAATCGCCATATACGCACGATTAAGCAATAGCATCCTGGATTCTAATAAATATGAACAGCCAACCATCCACGGCGCCTTCTCAGCGCCGTGTCTGCATATTCGGCAGGCGCACGCACGTATTAACTTGCATGAAACAACTTGAGCAACGCAGAGGTTATCCAATCGACCACACGACCCGCACGAACAAAGTGCATGGGCCCGCACCATGAATGTGAGCGACCCACCAACCATAGGTGGGTGGGAAACGCTACGAATTCGGTGTTGCGACACACAAGGGTTACGCAACCATGCAACACCTGTGTCTCATCCCTTCCAGGTCCCCTCCAGCGCGCTACAAACCTGCCCTCCAGCCGTCCAGCCAGGGTCCAGCCCATTACCCTCGACACCACTTTCCCTCGCCTTCTTAATCCACGCCAGGACTGTTTCCGGCGTATGTAACAATAATAATGATAATGACGCCGCCTTCCAACCGAGCCCTGCGGCCCTGCTGCCGTGCCCCAACCGCCATTAAGAAAGACCTGACACTCCTGCTGCCATGCTGCGCTGGCAAATTGTTATCGATACCTTATCTGGAGGCAGATAGAGGCTCCAACGTAACCTAGTTATTACCTAAGCCAACGGCTGAGTGTTTCTACTACCGTCCGGCTGTCGTGCTGGCATTGGCTGCACTGGTTGCCAGCGGATACCACTCCATCGCAACCTCCGTCTGGCTGGTAGCAGCAGCAGCAGTCGGCGTCAACCCCAAGTCCAACACAACCTTTGCATCGCTCCGCTTGTTCTTAACCGTAACAAGTGTGGGAACGAACCCAGCTGGTAACACGATCTCTCCGCGCGTTTGCAGCACGGTCTGCGTCGGGAACTCCACCGCGTTTCTCACGGTGATGTTTCCCATGGTGATGGCCACCGACTGGCCGTCGCCGTCCCTCACACGCAGCACGTACTTGCTCATCTCACCCGCGGCGGCAGGGCTGCGGAAAAAACCCTCCACACGCACGTAGCGGTTGGTGCCTGCTCCGTTCGCAGGAACCGGAACCGAGCCCGAAAGGCTGCCTGCCACCGACACCACCGACTGAACCGCCGTAGACGTGTAATTGTTCACAACCAGCGACGAAAGGCCGGGTATGGCCTCGTATGGCGCAGTAGCGTTTGGTTGGAAAACCGTTGCCACGATACGTTGCGTCGAGCTAACTTGACTCAGGCTCCAAGCCGAGCTGCCTAGCGCCGTGGGCATGTAGCCTGAAGAAGAAACGGCGGTTTGGAGGAGCCCTCTGCGACCTCCTGCAGCTGCTGCTGCTGCTGCTGCATGCCTTGGCATTTGCCCTTTTTCTTTGGCAGAGGAAGCGGAGGAAGGAACGGAAGAAGCAGAGGAGGAAAACCTCGATGATGGCGTTTCAGAGGGCTCGGACGACGATGGCGACAGGAGCAGCCGCAGGGATGGGCGAGTAGCGCTGCTGGTGGTGCTGCTGACGACGGGGATGGGAAGCAGCGTGTTGCTCATGTCGAGTTTGAAGTTGTCGGAAGACATGTTGCCGTTGAAGCCGCCGTCTAGGAGGCCCACCTGGCTGGCGGGACCCACATAGCGGCTCTCTGGGGAGGGACGAGGGGGCGTGGTGTTTGTTAGGAGGAGTGCGGAGTTGTGGGGAGAGAGAAGCGTGGAGGAGTGCGCAAAGGTTGCGAGTGACCCATGGGTCAGTCGATCAAGAATTAGAGAATCAAAAGCGTAGTAAATTACTACATCTGCATGGGATACTAACATGCAGCGCAAGTTCAGTACTAGTGTGAGGAGATACGGTCCATGCAGTAATGTCACAGCCATTAGGGGTCGCTGGTTAGAACCGTATGCTAAGTTGAAGAGGACCCGAACGACCTCAACAGCTCCTTTCCAGCTGTACTCCTCCCCGGCCCTCCCTGACCCAACGCCCTGCTGCCGACAACCCCCCCACCCCATTCAAACCCATCCTCGCTAGGTGGCCCTTCAGCCGCCTCACCAAACACGAGCAGCTGGTAGTATCCCTGCATGCTGGTGACGTTGGGCGCGGTGGAGGCGGCGTTGTAGGGCCCACGCAGCGCTGTCGTCTTCTCATTGCGGTAGACCTGCGGCATGCATGCATGCAGGCAGGCAGGCGCCACAAGCCAGTGAGTCCAGCGGATGCGGGTGGGTTTGCCCGCCTGGCGGCCTCCTTGATTGGATGGTCAACTGGCTACCGTAGCACACACCCAGCAGCCCCTACTACACCATGTCCATTAACCCCTTTGCCCAGCTTCTGTCTTGCCGTTGACTAACCGCCTTCCAACGCACTCATCCCCCCTAAACCCCAGCTGCCACCAACCCCACCCCCCTCCCCGCCCGACCCCGCACGGCCCCGCACTAAACTCACGCTCTGGCTTCCCAGGAAGGTATACTGCGTGGAGCTGGTGCGCAGCGACGTGACACCCGACCTGCAGGGGGGGAGAGCAGTGCGCAGGTCACAACACAGGAGAAGAACCCGTTTACCACCAGCCGTAGATAGTAGGCCGGTAGTAGCAGGCAGGCAAAGCACGGCAGGTTGCCGAGCGCCTAGCACAGCGGATACGTGTACCGGTGCACCAACCAACCAACCAACCGGCACGCGACTAACCAACAGGTGAACCCCGGGGTAACGAAAACGCCGCCAGACCACCGCCAGCCACCGCAGCCGCCCTGAACGTGTACCGGTGGCGGGCCTCTAACGGGTCTTACCTGAAGCCCCGGTTGACGTAGGTGTAGCAGCGAATGTACACGAAGCTGAGGGCGGTGCCGGCGATGGTGTACTGCGCGCCGATGCTGTTGAACACGTCCTGAGGGAGGCGAGGGAGGTGAGGGAGGTGAGGGAAGGGAAGGGAAAGACCGTACATTAAAGCACTGGGAGCCACAGGTTAGGGCAAAGCAATGGGGATAGACTGCGGGCAGAGTGTCACAATACGTGTGTTAAATTGTACGAGGGAGAGGGAGGGGAAGGGAGAAGGAGGGAAGCTGTGAGAAAAGGTGTGATCTACTCACGTCCCGCCTCAGTGGCATTCAGGGTGAGGAGGTGCAGTACAAGTGTACAACACCAGGGGCCCAATCAGGCACCCAAGGGACAGGTACCGGTGCACAGCACGCACTCACATTCAAGGTAAGCGAGGCGTAGCTGTAGCAGCCGTTGCTGAAGCTCTCGTTGTCCGCACGGCATCCCGAGGAAGAGGAGAAGTTGGAGTTGACATATGTGCCCAGGGTGGAGCTGTTGTAGACCTGCGCAATGTCCAAGTGGAAGAGGGCCGTGTCGTGTTGTCATGTACAAATGGGCATGCATGGATGCCACGTATGCATGGGTGCCGCATATGCCTAACCTCAGCAGGCTAGGAGGGTGATGCCATGGATGAAAGGATACGTGCCAGGATACGCAGCCCAGCGGTTGGGGGTCACGTGCGGATGCCATGTGTCCCATCCTTGCACGCGTCTCATGTAGCCATGCATCAGCAGCTATGAGTTTGCCGTGTGCACGGATGCAGTGTTGTGACGGCTGTCGTGCAACCGCATCCAAGCTGCCTTGCATAGCAGTGGCAATGGCTGTCCCCCGTCCAGGGCTACTTGGCTATACACGCACAGCCTCGCCTTCAGAAACCCACCGGCCTACATCTTTACGCAAGGCGTACGGTATGTGCGGTCTTACCTTCCTAACCCGCATACGACAAACCCAAACCCGCGACAACCTCAGTTTATCAAGTCCCCACTCACTCGAGGTGTTTGCGCGATCGCAATGGGCAGTCGGAACTTGAGCCAGGGCTGCGACTCGTAGGGGTAGGGAGCGGACTCTCCCAGGGGCAAAGGATACCCGTCAGGCCACACGTCGCACTGCATGCCGGGGACGTAGCCTGTGGGGCAGGAGGGATTTCCAAACAGGCAGTGGCCACGTCTGCAGGTCTCCCCTAAAGCCTCCTTGTAAGCGCTACGGACACGCACGCCATCATCGGTAGCGGACACAAGGTAGCGCCCGGCCCTGGCATCGTATCCCCTTCCCCAACCTGCCTGCCGTCTACACAACCGCCATCACAACCGAAACCGCGACACCACCCAACGTTCGACCGCGCCCCGCGATCCTACCCGCCACACCACTCGAGGGCTTCCAAAGCAGGTTGTTGGCCACATGCGTGGTGACCGTGGTGGCCTGACTGCCGCTGAGCGCATCGCAGGGCATCCAGGACAGCTTGAAGCCGGTGGCCGAGGTGTTAGCCAGGGCGAAGCGAATTGTGAGGTCGTGGGTGGGGAAGCGGCTGCTGCTGAGCTGCGCTAGGCAGCCGCTCAGCTTGGTTGGCATGCTGGTGGTGGTGGTGGTGGTGGTGGTGCCGGTGGAGGTAGAGGCGGTGAAGACGTCTAGCACTTGGAGCGAGTTGATGTACAGGGCGCAGAGCTGGCATGTGAGCTGCGGGGCATGTGGCGCGAGAGGCGGGTTGGTTGGGAATAGCAGTAAGCACCAAGCTGGGTAGAAGGGGTGCCGGACACGGGCAGGACCTTCTCTGATGCACAGGACCAGATAGTTTGTTGAACAATGTTGGTTAGTTCGTAGCAGCATACCCTACCAACCTGGAATCGCATAGGAATCTCCGGTGCCCGCAGACGTGTGTGCACGATGCCGACAACGGACATGGGCACAGTGTCGTTCATGTTTGGGTACAGCGCGTCCCGCAGGCCGGTTGCCATGTCGGTGAAGCTGAGGTCGGGGAGCACGGAGCTGTAGTTGTACGGCTGGTCCAGCTGCAGCTTGGGGAAGGGGCCGTCGGCGATGCTGGCGCGGGTGAGGGTGGAGGCGTTGACGGGACGAGTCAGAACCTGCGAGGTACAAGATGGACCATGGGTCTTGACGAGGAAGTATTGCAATCCAATGCACGCTCACGGTGTATTTCGCTGAAGAGTACAGCGCACGCCCTCTCCGTAACTGGGATGCCAACAACGTCAAATCAACCACGGCTGCCACTACTCGCGGCCCCTTTTTTAACGCACGAAAGCCGCACCTGGAACGCTGAAGATAGTGCGATGCTAGGCGCGTAGTACAGGTTTCCGGGCTGGAAGTCCGTGGAAACGTAGAACACGTTCAGGTACTGATAGTCACCGGCAGCGCCCCCCGAGTTGGGAAGTGCCATCCGGATATCAATCGGCGCAACCGGGTTACGATAGCGCAGCTGGAACTCGTACCAGCCGCCTGTGGGTGGTGTGGCACGCACAAGGACGCATGCAAGGACTTGGATGCACAATATGCTGGACAGAGGAACATACACAGCGTTCTGAAGAGCGCGTCAAACGCACAGCGGCGTTCATGGCAAGTGCTCAAGCTGCGTATCCTGCAGCCCCGCCTGGGAATCAGTTTGCGCCGCAGCAACAGCAGCCCCCTGCACGGCTGCACGCACTCACCAGCGGTATCCGTACTCAGCTGGATGGTGGTGTTCAAATTGGCCAGCTTGCTCTGACCCAGCTTGATCACCAGGTCAACGCTGTTGGCCGTGGTGCTTATCTGTTGACAGGCGCACAGTTGCCGGTAGTACGGCAGGATTTGGAGGGCACGCAGCGTTTTGGCGTTTTCACATTCCTAGCCCCTTCTCTCCACAGCTTCGAAAAAAACCCAAATATGTGATACCGGTAACGCTACTACAAAGGCCAGGCAACAAAACTGGCCGCGAGTCGGAACGTACTGTGCCGTGTGGTTGCACTTGACCTCGTCCCGCAAGCCCGGAGTCCGCGTGCCTACCTTCATCAGATAGATGCCACTTTGGTTCAGGTACACCGACGCTCGGACCACCAGCGTGTACCCTGCTCCGTACTTGTAGCTGTCGAACAGCGACTTGGTGAACTGATGGGGAGAGGAGCGATTGGGAACAAGGAGCCAAACCGTGTAAGGCAACAAGGCGCCAACAACACGAGGTGTTGGGGGTGGCAGGCGGAGGGAAGACATGTCCGGCCACCGCAGTCGAAAGCGAAACGGTCTGCGAAATGGGTAATGCAGACCCTGCCTAGGGGAATTCAATAAGCTCCACGCGTGACGTGACGCTCAACTTCCAAACCACGAGCCCCAACACCACCCTGTAATCATCAATCGCAGCGCAGCATCCCCTGCCGCACTACCGAACCTGCCCCTTCTACTGGTGTTTTTCGTTTCTCGACATTTCGTTCTCACAACAAGTTATTGCTCCTACCCGTGCAGACGTGTCGTATATGTTTAACGAGGCGTACGACTGGTCTTCCAGCCCAATGTCGCCCGCGAAATACGTTTCGTTAAAGCCGTTAATCATAACGGTCTGGTTGGTTGAGTTGAACCCAGTCATGGGTGTCAGTACTGCAGGAGGCAGGAGATACACAGCGGCACAACAGTAGAACCAAGCGTAACGCGCCGTTAACATGTGGTTAAAGTATTAACTTAGGCAGTGTTGCTGAAGCGGAAAAGTGATGTCAGGATTTGCATGCAACTCCACATGCAGTAGGACGCAGTAGGGTACAGCAGCAGCAGCAGCCGCTGTCACTCACAGAAAAGGTTGTCAAGAGAGGCTCGGGCCTTCAGTACCGCCTGGGCCGCGTTGACACGGCTGCTGGTCCGGACTGGCAGGTTGGGGATCTTGTCGGAGGAGTCGACCAGGATCTGGAGCGCCTTGGAACCCTGCACGGCAACAACAGGTTACATCTTACATGATGGGACGGCTGCGGCTTAAGCTAGAAGCCGCAACATTCAACGACGCAACCTTTCGAGAGCGAGGGCGGCTGTGACAGCGGATTTTGAACCAGCCACTCTTCCGCCCAACTGCTTAAGGCGAAACAACATAACAACCCAATTGCTTGCCAGCACAGGACCTCCCTGACCTGGTAAAAGTCACAGGATGCAGGCCCAATCACGGACAGGATGAGTGCAGCCACGCCAGCTACCAAGGGGGTGGCCGCGGAGGAGCCGGTTTTGTTGGCGTAGAGCTGGTAGCCTGGCGGGTGGGGTGGGCGGTGGGTGCGTAGGTGCAGTGGGTGAAAAAACCTAGAAAGCCACGCAAACCAGGAAGAAGTGCAACACAAAGAACAAAAGCCGTGACTGTTGAGCGTAGCGTTCTCCTGAGTGTCGTGGTGCCACAGGCGACTACCATGACGATGGGAGTCCATGTGGGGGTTCCATAACGCTGCTGGGGGGTGAGACCCACGGGTCATTAGCTGTCAGCCCAGCTCAGCCCTGCGCTTACCCGTGCCGTACAAGGAGGGCACGGTGGACAGAATCTGCCGGCCTGGAGCCCCGATGTCCACGTACTTGGTGCCGTAGTTGGATCCAATGTCGACGTTTCCGGAGAGCTCATGCATGCGCTGGTCCTGTGAGGGCGACAGAAAGGAGGACGGATGGAAGAGCTTTCAGGAGGCTGGAGGATACGAATGGCAAATCCTACTTGATTGGAGCTTTGCGTGGATGCATTGCGCATGTACACTAACAGGACACATGCGGCACCTCTGCCCCCGCTTGCGTCGCCAACACCTAGATGTAGCAGTTATGGCTCCTCGTGCGGCATTTCCAAAGGCGCGCAAGAAAACGGATCCAAAATAGCAAACTCGCCCGACGTACCTGTGGGTTCGTTGCCATGACGCACATCATGTTGTTGGGGTAGTAGCGGGCCATGGTGCAGGGGTTGTAGGTGCTGTTAGCCTTGTCTAGGTCATCAAGCAAGAAGTTCTCGTTGCCTGCATGGGAGGAACGCAACAGTCAACGTCGGCAATGACCCGTGGGTCATCAGTCAACGCGTACATGTAAGACCACCAGTCCGCAACCTGCGCCCCGCCCTTCCCAAGCGCGTTACCGCAGGCATAATAGCCTAGTGCCCTTTACCGGATCTTCCTACCTTCACACCACGTACTTCGTGCAATGTACGACCGGTTAGCGCACACACTCACCCCCTGACTTCCACCTAGCCCTCTCCGAACAAGCCCCATTGCCCCATTGAGAGACACGCAGCCGGGCACTTATTATCTTTGCCTTCACCCCACCTGCAGCTGCGAAAATCAGCATGTCCTTCCGCACCAGCGGCCGCAGTGCCTTCTGGTAGGCCTTGGTTTCGTTCCACATGGTATCTTGCTCCGCCTTGCTGGGGAACAAGTTGGGCAGCTGCGGGCCGAAGCTGCAGCTCACGATGTGCGCACCCATGTTGTGCGCATAGTCGAGCGCCCTCAGCACGGCTGACGTGTAGAACACACCCGACTCCGTCCCTGCAGCCTGGCGGGTTGGGAGGAGATGGGGGTAAGCGGAAGGAGGCGGGAGGATGGTGGCTCCAAGGATATGACATGCCGGGCTGTGTAAGGGTTGGGCCCTATGTGGCCCGGCAGGGAACCTCGGTGGATTGAGCCTGAGGCAATGGTTGGATTGCAGGTGTCAGTGACCCATGGGTCGCCCGTGTCCCGCAAGGTCCTGTCCCCCACAAGTCCACGCTATGGTTACCAGTCTTACCTTCAGGCACATGATCCTCACGTTTGGGGCGACACCGGATACACCCTGGCCGTTGTAAGCGGCAGCTGCGATACCTCTGAGGGGCCGATGGCAGCAGGAAAGACATGTCATAAACAGGAGCAGGCATGGAGGGCGGAGGAGACGCAGACGACCGCCCACACATACGGAAGGAGCGCACGCTCAGTTGCCTTCCTCCTATTCACCTTACCCCTCACCAGGCCTTAACCTGCCGCCCGATCCCCCACACACACGTCGCCAACAGTGACACCGATTTATGTGCACAACGAGTACAACGATGCATCGGCACTGCCAGCGGTTTATGAGGGGCCGCTGCTGCTGCGACGGCTCACCCGCAGTGCGTTCCATGGCTGTGTATGTCCTTCGGCTTGGGTGTGGTTGTGGGGTCGCCCGAAAAATCGTAGCCATAGATGTCGTCTATGAGACCTGTGCGTTCGGGCAGCCGGGCAGTCTCTGCTGTAAGTAGATCGCTACGAACAGAAGCGGGCAGCGCATGTAGCGCCCCGAGTCGCAAACTCAGGGACCAATGGAGGGGAGGTCTTGCAAGTTTAACGAACAGTTTGTGACGCCGCGTCGCCCAGTATACCAACTACTAGCGGGCAGCAGTGGCAAAGTAGCAATCTGCCCTGACGCGCTTGCTCCTCTTGTTCCACCGTTCATACCCACCGTTGCCATCATCATCCACCCCCGGGTCGCCGCCCAGTTCCAGTTCGTTGACCCAGATATTGCTCTTCAAGTCTGGGTGGTTGAGCTCGCACCCCGTGTCGATGACCGCGATCACCACGCCGGCAACGCCTGAGAGGACGTGTACGGGGACTGCTCGAAACACATGCAGGAGTGCCTCCACTACAAAACCCTATCCGAGAGCTTCAGGGCTGTCTGGAGACGTGTAGCACAGCCCCGCAGTCAGGGCATGACACTTCTTCCCTGCATGCCTTCCGTCCTGAAGCCCAGGATGTGTGTACAGCCGACCCCTGGCCGAACCAGCACCCACTTCTGGGCCGTGTTCGCATATCTGGGCCCGAACTTCACAGTTCCTCACGCCCCCACCCTAGAGTGAATCAGAGCCCAGAGTTAGCTGCCTGCACACACCCAGCCTGACGCACCCTCCGTGATGTTCCAAGCTCCATCGAAATTGACCACTGACCGCTGCCACAAACTGCCCTCATAGTTGCTAGTGGAGGCGTCAGCTGCCAGGTGCCGACGCTGCGTGGTGGTGGCAGAACCAGCAGCCGCAGCAGCTGCTGCTGCCGCGGCCGACACATTGGGCGATACGGCAGCCGCGGCAATCGCCGCCTTAATAGCAGCTGCCGCTGCAGCCGCTTTCGAAGCGGCCTCACTGTCGGCAGCCAACATGTCCCCTTGGGGCGCTCTGTAAAACTCTCTGTCTTCCAAGAGGAGATCCAAATCTGCGAGGGCAACGGAGTGGACAGTGTAAACACGGGGTCAATAAACCGTGTCACACATGCGCACAAACAACACAGACGCACCCGGTTGCGCCTCAATGAGGTCCCGAATGGCGGCTTTGACCTCAGAGCTGTTGAAAGAAACGATGTGAAGACCCGAGCTTTGCAGCAGCACCTCATCGACATATTCGTACAGGGCCGGGGGTACGATGCTTTTGACCGTTTTCTCAATGGTCTGGAAGCTGACGATCAGGCGATAAACAGGTTCGGGTGCCTATAGGATTGGGGGAAAGGTGAGAGGCACAGGGCTGCGGCAATGCACGTTGGGTATTACTTCGTGACATACCTGTTCCGTATGTTTGTGGCTTCCGCATCCCCGCAGTACGCAAACCGGCGGAACTACTGCAGCGACTACTATAATTGCGAGCACGATAAGGATAAGGAACCAATGGGCACAGCCCGGCCTCTGCAGGCAAATGCGTTGTCCACAGAACAACCCTTTACACCAGCCATCGCCCAACGATGAAACCTTTTTCGGCGGGCTCTGTTCCCTAACTTCTGGTTTATTTCCGTTCTCTGCTGACAATGTTAGATTGATAGAAGGATTATTGTCTAGGGGTTGTTTATAGAGAATGTTTGTTTCTTCTGCCATTTGCGTTCACACTTATCAAGTTATGGTATTATTAAGTAAGAAGTCATGCCTTCTATTAAGATGCTTATCTTGTTCAGGTTGCGACTACGTATACACTACCGCGTGCGAGGCAGGCTTTATGAGATTTAGAAAGTGTCCCATAGTTATTCAAGTAACCTTTAAGCTTCCCGGCCCAATTGCAACTGTCGATTCGGGGGGCGAAACCGCCGCTACCCGGCCGGACGTCAACAGATGCCGTACAGTGTCCAGTGTGCTGCCCTTCGGTTTTCCTTTATACACAAAACCAGAGCGACTCCGTTCCTAAATCGGCCAGATTCTGGGCGAAGGCTGTCTGTGGACGGTCACTGTGCAGCGTGCATGATGACAAGCCGAGCTAGTGAGGCAACTCCACGTGAGTCGGTGAGCGTGGTTCATTGAGAATGTCTGAAGACGAAAGCATACCGGTAATGTAGACAGAAGAGCAGAACTCCTAGGGTGAACCGAACCACCACTAAGGGATATGACCCCGGTTTGCGACGGGAGGAACGTTAGTTCCGAAGGCCAACCAGCCTGCTTAACCTGATATACCCCGCTGGACACGAACGGCAGTCAGGACATGAAAATAACTTTACAGTTATGGGAACACAGGGCTTCATGCATGAGAGGCACGGCAATGTGGCAATGTGAGTGGTTTCATTAACGCGCTTTTTAATCCCTAGAACCCTACATTTTCTTGACTATTGCCCCAAGACAATGTACAAAGTGCTGGACAACAGAATGAGACAGGTTCAGTGTGTCCACCTGTGCTTTGTCAACGTTTTGGCACGAGGCTTGCTGCTAAAGTTAAACAGCTTTACAAGGGAGTTCACTTGTATCCTAGTCAATCAGTACACTGGCTAGCCCTTGTCAGTGGCCTGCCTGTAGGAAAACCCCACATCGGGCGGCTTTCGTGAGAAGCAACGGCGGCTAAGAAACGGTTTACTGCTTTGGATGAGTTTACAGGTGGCTGTAAATCCAGTAAGCATATAAACAAATCAATATATATGGCTCCCGGCTTGCCATTCAAGTTGCACAGTTGTGAGCCATTCCCTACTTTGCGATCCTCTTCGCCCCTCCCGTACCCCTGTGTTCCTTAGGGTAACTAGGATAAAACTGACAAGCTGTAAAACGAGGATTCATCAGCTTGCAAAGGGTGGGTTGCTGCCAGCCCATGTAGCCCTCTCCTCAACACCGCGGCTTAGTCCACCTCCCTCCTGTGGTAAGCACGTCATCAGGGACTTGACGCCCGGAAGCAGCCTTATACTGTTACCTGACTCCCATAACTCCGTAACACGTTGGTCTGTACATCGTACAGAGTAGTAAGCTTAGCAAAGCAATTGCAAGTTTGGTGCCTCTAAATACCGGTAACGCCAGCCGCCGTCCCAGCAACGAATGGACGAATCGACCTCACACACGCTAGTAAGCCAATCATGGAGGTGCCGTACAGAGACGCGCGTAATAGGGCTTGCTTGGGGACCTATGCCAAGCAACCAATGTGCGCACGAGGCCCTACCAAAGCAAGGTAGGGTTTGCCGTTTGCCGGGAACAACACGAGGACGCTTGCCCCTTCAAGAACACCCTACTGACACCTATTCACCTACTCAGGTAAGACTGGACGCACAGGACCGCGAACGAATACACACGCACCAATAGTCGAGAGGACAACGGACTGCAACGAATGACAACATACTGGTACCTCAACGCTACACGACCTACTAACGACCGTGCATGCTCCTCATGCAACCAATCAACCATTACACACATCTCAGGCCTGACAATGCTTGGATACGTCTTCATGTTCCTATGTACGCTAGGAGTGCAGCTCCTGCAGCTGAGCAGCGACACTCCCCAAACCTCCCAACCCATGCGAGACACGCACCTGTTCCAATGCGCCCCCTCCTTCTCTAACCACCCATCGATCGAGCACGTATCTACGTAAAAGCTGCAACGCAAAGCCAGCCTGATGCTCATGACTAGGAATCTACTGAGCCCCGCTTACTTGACCTGCATCTTGACCCAGCCACCTGCCTATGTTTCCATACACAATCGCCCCTCCCCGCACCAACAGCAGGCGAGGACAGTAGAATTCATGTGAAAACACCGCATGCACAGTAAGGTATAAATCCCATCATTTCTCCCGGTCGCCATGAATACGGTAAAGATAGGCATTGCTTCTGCGCCCAGCATGAATACGCGCTCGCAATGTCGCCATTCGGGTCTTTCCCTACTGCTCCGCTGCTGTGTTCGTGTCAGCCAGCGAATACCAGTCCAGGGGCTTCTCGGTCGAGCTGCTGCCGTCACCCGCAGCAGCATCCGTTGTTGCTGCAGCATCCGTCAACCCCAAGTCGAGCAGTGCACTTGAATCGTTGCGGTTGTTCTTCATCACCACCAGTGCAGGCACATAGCCCTCGGGTAACACGATTTCCGTGGCTGTTTGTGTCACCGTGTTCGCAGGGAACTCCACCGCGTTTCTCACAGTGATGTTTCCCATGGTGATGGCCACCGACTGTCCGTCGCCGTCCCTCACACGCAGAACGTACTTGCTCATCTCACCCGCGGCGGCAGGGCTGCGGAAAAAACCCTCCACACGCACGTAGCGGTTGGAACCCGCATCTTCCTCGGGTAACGTGACGTTACCCAATAAGGAACCCGCCACCGAAACCACGGACTGGACCTCAGTGCCCGTGCAGTTGTTCGCCACAAGCGAAGAGAAGCCAGGAAAGGCCTCACAGTACGCCGATGCATTGTAGGGGTAGACCGCCGCGGCAAAGCCCGCTGACCCCACCTGCTCCATGCTCCAAGCGGAGCAGCCCAGGGCCACGGGGACGTAGCCGCTGCGGGAAACAGGCGTCTGCAGGAGCCGCCGGCGACCCGCGGATGCGCGCGTCCGGAGCAGGCCCCGGACAGCCTTCTTTGGGGGGGGCGGCGACTTAACGTACGGAGGCGCTTGAGGCGGTGGAGGTGGGGGTGGGCTGGATGCGGCTATCTCAATGAGTACGTCCACAGGTGCTCTGGTGCTGACGACAGGGATGGGCAGCAGCGTGTTGCGCATGTCAATCACGAAGTTGTCGGAGGCCAGGCTGGATATCAGGCCGTCCAGGATGCCGATGCCGGGTATGAGGGGGTTGAGGCGGCGATACTCTGCAAGAATGTATGCATGCATGCAGAGGGCATGCAGCAGGTCAGCGCATCGATGTGGGGTCGTCGGCTGGGCTGGCATGTAAGACTACAAAGGACCTAAATATGCGAGCACAGGGGCCGCAAAACATACCGGCAGGGGCGGTTGTCTGTCTACCGGTTTCACGAATGTTGCTGGGTCCCACCAAGGCGGGGAGTTGCGGTCAACAGGCATGTTTCAGTACGTACGGTACATATCCTTAGGTACGACACGATAGAGACGAGCAATGCCGTCTCCTAGTCACGGCACACCGGTACCATGAACTGCCGACTTTGACTGCTACTATCTATTGTACTATGGCATCCGAGCGCAGCACCTACCGAATGCAAGCAACTGGTAGTGGTCCTGGAGGTTGGTGACGTTGGGAGCAATGGACGCGCCGTTAAGGGAACTATTCTGCTGCCCTGTGACAGACGTCGAGCGGAACACCTGCAGTACGGAAAGCCATGCACCCGAGGGGCCACGGCAGGCCGCACAGTTGTTGATACCGGTAAATGTTGCGGAAATTGCAACTCGCTCATAACATAATGTTTACCATGGCGCCAAAGACAGCTGCATGCTTCAAGCATCAACGCCAATCTCCGTCACGCACCTGATATTGTCACAACCGGCAGCATCAATCCCCTACTCCCAGACCCCTTGCTGGGCGTTTGCATGCACTTACGGTCTGGCTGCCTAGGAAGGTGTTGATGTTGTTCTGCGTGCTGCCCCGAGCCTGTGTGACTCCGCTCCTGCAGGCACAGCGCATCAAGGAGGAACCAAGCAGCTTGTACCAATCTTGTGAAAACGCAACCACAGAGAGACCCCCAAACCTGCACATCCATGCGTGTATGGTTGTATGCGCACATGCAGCCAACCATGCATGCGGTACCGGTACCGGCATATGCCCACGCACAATGCTGGTGTGCATGTAGTATGCTGTAGAAATCTCCTCATACATCGTCATCACTCTGCCACCCGTTAGGAGCTGCACCCGCAACGCTACCTGAAGCCCCGGTTGACGTAGGTGTAGCAGCGTATGTACACGTAGTAGAAAGCCGGGTAATCCCGGTAGTCGCTTTGCAGCTTGATGGATGTGAAGATGTCCTGAAGGGAGGTAGCAGTTAGAAAACACAGCAGCTCGGAAGATTGGCACCCCACGCTTAAGGCGGCCCAAGGCGCCTGTGACCCTCCTACGACACCCCATTCCATACCTAGCCCTATCCCCAACAATCACACATGAACTTGCCTTGAGCGCGAATGACGCGTAACCATAGCAGCCGCTATCAAAGCTCTCGTTATCCGCACGGCACCCCGAAGGCAGGATGCTGGCCGTCAGGACGGATGCGTTCATGAGCGTGCCGTTGAGGGACTGTGGACGAGGAGGCACAGCAGCAGCACAGTAGGAAGTGCTGTAGTATTCAGCCCCTCACTTGTCATAAACGTCTTTACGGCCCCTGACTCTTCAGCCAGCAGATGCATACAACTTCTCATCGGTTGGCGGCTCTCTCAACGAACAATCGACTGCAGGTATCGACACCCGCTTGTGCGCCGTCCCTGCGCTGCACTATGACCGTTGCCGCCGGCCTTACCTTTGCTGACTGCCCCAATGCAATGGGCAGCCGGAATTTGAGCCAGGGCTGCGACTCATAGGGGTAGGGAGGCGAGGTGCCTGCCTGCATCGTGAAGCCATCCGGCCACACGTCGCATTGCATGCCGGGGACGTAGCCTGTGGGGTAGCGTGAAGCACCGCCACAGTGGGAAGCATATGTACGGCAGATAAAAAGAGGATGGCGGCCAAACGCATTCGATCCCCTCAAGTTATGTCTAGGCTTGAATTCCGCTAACGCGTTGCCCGGCGCATACGAGCAGTTGATAACGGCATCGGGTACCCGGGCCTAACGACATGTGCGATACACCCATATTTGCAACATGCGACACCACCCGACGATCGACCGCGCCCCGCGATCCTACCCGCTACTCCACTCGCGGG